AACCAATTCATATGGGAGGGCCATTACATCCATATGAATTAAGTTGAAAGTTAGATAGCACCTAATTTGAGTTAAACGTCAGATGGCAAAAATGTGAGACTTTAACAAGGTCAGCTTTTCGAGTTTAAATGCAAAATTCATAGTCATCAAAAAACCATTAATGAATGATAACAAAAGTAGGTAATGTGTGATTTATAGACACATGTGATTTATAGAATTATAAAGCTACTACCAGCCACTATTTCCATATTATAAATTTATAAGGTGCAATAAAACAGTTGCTGAGATTGAAAAAAAAAGAAAAAAAACAGAAAAACAAGACGACAAAAAATTAAGAAAAACAAAACAACAAAAACTAACTGGTCCTTTCTCTACTGCTATTCCATCTTCACCGATTTTTGACATTTTTGGCTTAGCTGCATCCTGAAGTTTCTTAAGTTTACGCTTAAAAACACGTTCTTCCACATTCATCATATTTCTGTCTGAAAATTTTATCAAATACACATAAGTAAAATAAATGGACACGTAACAACAGGTGACGTGAAGACGTATTAAAGCATACCCATACAAAACAATGAAATAGTTTTCTAAACAGGTAATTGCCAGGAGTGTCAACAAATAAACAAGTCAAAACAGAAATATTTCAACTCAGTCACCGGCATCTCATAGCAATTTTTGGAAAAAACATAACAGTCATCAAATCTAATTAGTGATTGTAGAACTTCTATGAACGATGCTGATGTTTGAATGTAATAAAATGAAAGGACAACTCGCAAATAATTTGCATAATTTTGATTCCCTAACGATGAAACAACAATAGTCAGCAACGAAAAATACAACGAATTTCGTTAGTATGAAGTAGTAAGAAAAGAGGACTCAGAAGATTCTGGAAGGAACTTGATTTTATTACAAAAATATTTCTACTAACAAATTTCACGACAGAAAATTGTTTAGGACTGAGGTGTACTGTTAGCCTTAATCCGAGAAATTTACGGGATTGGTTAAACCTGCCAAATCATGGCTTCCCCCTTCTATCTCCAGGGTCTGAGCTTCCCGCAATTTCATTAAAAATCAAAAAGTATTCCAAGACAAAGAATCATATATCGACAATGACATAAATATCAGTCTTATCCAAAGATTCGTTAACTTGCATATTGGAATAAGTGATTGCTTTAATTTCGGTTCCTTGTGGATGTCTATTGAGATCGAACGATTCACCCCAACACCGCATCTGTACTTCGAATTTTTCACGATCGAGTTTAATTATTTTTGCAATCCTACCAATGAAATATGGTTCTGTTGAGAAAGCATAGAGCGCTTCATCAAGCAATCGAGCCACCAGTGAGATCATATCGATACCATTAGCAAACAAATCAAATGAATATTCCACAGACACCGTTGAAATCTCAGTCATATAACCATACATAGATATTAATGTCTGCTCCATGGCCTCTTCCAAAGTGCTACCCCAACCATGCAGCTGAATGTCCGCGGTATGGTCAAGATATTCATATTTAATTGCTGCTGTTACTGGTGCATCCGCCATTTGAAATCAGAAAATAAAAATCTCCTTGTTTGCACTGCTTGCGATTATATTCAAAATCTTAAATATTTTGACAAATTATCTTGAACTGTTTTACCACTTGGCCTGATAACCATGAAAAATATTGGTCATTCCAAACTAAATCACTCCAGCTCTTCTTGAAGTAGTTCAACTAAAACCGAAATCACGAGAAATAAAAGGTCCAACCTCAAAATCTATATCCTGTAAAAATCGAATAAAAAATATTTATACGCAAAGAATGAAACGAATAAGCTTTCACAACAGCAATAATAGCGAGTGATTTGCACGTTTGTACGTGGCTATATACAACAGAGAAATGCATCGCCAGTAACTGCAGAGTAAGATGGTAATCGTTGATATTTACAGAACTTCACAGATGTCGAACAAAGGTTGAAATTAAAAATTGATACAGAATGAAACAATATGCAACACCAATCTTTGTGAAAAAAAAGATATTAAAAAGAATTGATATTCTCTGACTTCTAAGGAAAAATATACAAAATAAAAATTAATAAAATGAAATAATTAAATGCGCTGAGAGATAAAGAAGAGAAAAACAAGAGGTATATAAAAGAGGAATATATTAAGAATTCTAAAATCATGCTTGATATAGCAGGAATAATGTCGCTCAATACAGTTTTTGAAGCCATTTCAGAAATCCGCCTTTCAAAATTAATGAAATCATGAAATGAAAAATGGCAGAAACAGCAGTGAGGGAATGTATCATATTAAGCTATAAAATATGTACACCGTGTTTGATCGTCAGTTGCAGGCGAAAAACAAGAATTATTATACATCTACACCCCATAACTCTTCGGCTGATCGATTCTGAGCAGTATCAGCTCGGAATGCACGACACGACATGAAGAGAATACGTTTTAGAGATTTATTGTGGAAAAAATATGCAAATGACCACATCACCAAGTCTTCACAATACGGATCGCCAGTGTATCCTGTTCGGTAACTATAAGAACGTTATTAATTTTTCACCAATGTTTAATACCCCCCTCCCCCTCGCCGTAATGGAAAGATGAAATGTAGAAAAACATTCTTTGTAAAGAAATTTTCGAAACTCATGAAAATACTATGCTTAAAAAAATAAAGTCTACATGTCAATTACATTAACAAAACAGTCAGGGGCTCGAAGAAACATGTATTCAGTTGATAATACTACTTCATTTAAATAGAGTCGTTCATAACCGCCGGAAAAAGCCTACTACACCAGTTGTTCCACTTAATCCATTCAATAGACCTTAGTGAATTTCCACCACATATTTCATAAAAAATACCTGTACAATTTACAATCACTAATTTTGATGACTTGATCGACTTTTTCCCACAATACTCTTTTGATTTCATAATAATTTGTCACCGTAGCAGAAAGTTTTGAATCAACCAAACCAGCTAATGTCTGTAAGCACGACATTAATAATTTCAAAGTAAGGATTTGTAATTTCAGCTAGACTTGGGAGTACTGAAAAATTACTGACCGCGAATTAAAAAATATATATGAATATACATCTGCTTGTCAGTTCTTTCCGTCCAACAGAAATGAGACTATGAACTACTACGTAGGTCAAACAACGAGATTAAATGCTAGCATTCTACATACTACCTTTGCTTTAGAACTTCACCTTCATAATTTCTGGATAAACCATGATTTCAAAAGTATTGTGTGAAAACTAACTTCAAAATTAGGGATGAGAGAAAATGCTTCACTCTTTGTAGAAGAAAAATCATAGTCTTGAAATGATGCGTTCATAACTGATCTCAATTCAAAAAGTGTCCGAGAGGAAATTGCATCCGCATATACCAAACCATTCTGAAAGTGTACTAAGAAAAACGAAGTAGTAATCCGCATGTTAAAATAAAAGAAACTGCAAAGTAACAACTGATGCGGGAACCAGTAAATTATAATAATCTACCTACTTCTTCATTACTAATGTTCAAACTGGAACAACCAGGTTCTGACAAATGGCGCAAACGCGGGTTCTGCGTCCATGATGAATTAGATAGAAGCCACGGTAACTTCTCTGGTGGTGAGAGCGGTTGCGGAGCATTACTGCTATTTTGTTGACTTTTCTTCCACTGTTTCTTGTCCGATGTTATCATTTTGCAAGAATATGCTTCCAACCTATCAAGTGAACACTATATACGATCGTAAAAGCAAATGCCTCAATCACTTTGTGCAGTGAAAAGCAATGTTAAGGTAAAAGATCTGTTTGCCGACATTCTATTACCCAGTATACACCATTATACCAACAAAGGCCTATCAATTTTGCAGCAAAATGGATTTAAATTCCTCAAATAGAATTTTTTGTATAATTGTTGTACTGCTGTTGATTGTTAGTAAGGCTAATAGGAAGCTAACAGGTTTGTAATGGCGGTATACTGCAGAAGAAGGAAAAGAGCAGCGTCCCTTTTATCAACCCGACTTGCTCAGCCTCTCATAAATATTATTTAGAACAAACCTCACATCAATGCAACAATCCTTCGCATGCTCTCCAAACGTGTATGACAACTGTTCAAGCTCTACGTTTTCTAACAACTTCATTGCAGCAGTGTTCCTGAAAGCACAGTATATATCTAAATATGTTAACATTACAAGATCTCATGGGAAAGACTTCATTTGTGAATGATACGATGTCTTCTAACAAAACAAAATAGTAAAAGTAAATACAACATTACGTAAGCGAGCCACCACATCACTGTCACCTGAGTAAGCCAAGCAAGCCAGCTCCCAACAACTGCTCTCTACTGGCTAAGGCCCATTAGCGCTTTTGTTGCATGAGAGGCTTTGAGAAGACTAGAAAAGACACTTTGCTTTCGGAGAAATAGAAAAAGAAAGTAACTGCTGCGAATGAGCACGGAGAAAAGAGAGGACAAAAGCGAACAGACAGCTTGGAAAGCACGTTTTAGCGGGACGAGGTTGGTTTTAAATGTGATTAAGGGAAGGATGGTTGTTTTATACTGGTGGTAAGTCCGGGGTTTCGTGATGGACTTTTCAGGGATTCCATAAGATAAGGTTGTGAGATGAGCATTTTGGAAGTTTGGCTGATTTAATTTCTTGACATAAGTGGAAATTTCCTAGCCTCTGTTAATCATTAGGGATATGGTGATGGAGTATGAGGAGCTTTACGGCTGTCCTCTAATTACTCAAAGACTTTGTGAAAGTCGTCCCTAACTTAGCACCTTTCATTAAAGTATATCCTTAACTCAACATTGTTTTGGCTGGGTTGTTGAGAGGTTATGAACGAATTTAAGCATTCTTATAATCTTTCTCAACTCTGGGAGGTTTTCGTACCTTTCCAGACTTTCCCATTGTATAGAAAATATCAGCCGGAATGCACGAACTGCTTAACTTTGGTCAGACTAAAGACGTGAGTTCGCGCCTTATTTCTGTTGCAAAGTACGATCGGTCGATCTAAGTGACTTTTAATTACGATTATTTATTTAATAGGACGATTATAATAAATTGCTTGGATTCAAAATCATGACTTCTTTATTAGAAACATATGTGTAAGCATAATGTATCTAAATATACCTCTGTAAAAAATGATCACATGGTTGGATTGATTCAATACACGGTTCTGTATTTTTTGATCCTCGAGATATTCTCCCATCAGTAAATTGGTAGTGTATAATTAAAATCCGCAAGGTTTCAGCTGGTTTATAGCAAAATGTCGTTATCTGGTGATCAGGAGGATAACAGGAAAAACCATATTGTAAGTTAACTTCTGAGTTATGGATGGGATTTCTCACCATCTTGCTAAACTTTATAACACTGATCACTGCGGCCAACCAGTGAAAAATCTAGTCGCAAAATATCTGTTGCTGACTGCTGAGCACAGTTCTCTCATCATTGAAGTTATCTAATTTAATTATAAAAGCAGAGTTTTGCCAAACTTGTTTGGCTTGGGCAATTTAAATTTTAGAATATTTCTACTCTTTGTTTCCTGTCGTTCCTTTCCCGGTGTAATTTGGGAAGAATTAAAAAAAATTGAAATGTGTAAAAAAGCTTAGCACTTTTAACTAGATTACTTTTTATCGAATAATAATCCACACGGCTAATAATGGTAATCAATCGAGATAAATAGATGCAAAAAGGATTTTATCCCACTCAGTTGTTGCCAGCGAATATCGTTTTAGAAGAGACAGAGCGCTGACAGTCCTCTAACGGTGATGTCTCCATCTGTCCGTCCGCAGTCTACAAAATTGGTTTGTTCATTTTACTACCCTTAAAATGTGGAATTACATATAATCTGAAAAGAAAAATTATACGTTTACCACTGCATCCTTAGTTCTAGTATTTTTTGAAGAGAAAATACATTTTAATCGGAGGGTAAGGTTGGAGTAACGTAAAATTTCTTGTCATTAGATCAGATTTTTGTTACTTCTGATACTATTTCTTTGTCACTCTTACAGTTCCGTTTGTCGAAAACTCCCTTAGGACCGAAGCTTGCAAATATCAATCAAGTTGATCCCAATATCGATGCCACTCTTCTGGAGCTGTGTTCTGTCGAGGTTGTCACACGATCTTTTAAAGACATCATGTTTCAGTTTCTTTTTTTTATTTCGTAGTGAAATTTAGTGCTGGTTTAAGCGTATGTAACAGAGAAACCGAGTTCCTGCAGTAATAAATTCAGATCCGAATATTGAACAGTTTTTGGTAGAAGAGACCTTGCAGTCCGAGGAAACTGTATTTCGCTTTTTTCTTTTTTCCTTGTTACTTTTCTAGCTTTTTTCGAAAACCAGTTGCTTTTGGCTCTTTCTGTCCTGTTCGTATTTTTTATCGCAGCTATTTATCAAAAAATATGTTTGGAATCATGCGGCATATTACTTACCTTATTTCGACATTTTCATAATTAGAAATGAGTATTCAGAAAGAAGCAGTGGATGAACGATACATTGCATCAGAGTGCAATGACGTTGTAAACGTTACCGATGTGACATCATCGTCGATGGCTACTGCATTGGTAAAGGATGTTTTTACATTTTATGTTTTAAATCTTAGAACTTATGTCAGCTACTCATAGCCCAAATTTCATTTTTTTTTTTTGTCATTCTTTGCTAAACATATTTACCTCTAAATTTCATCCTCTCCATTCCTCTAAAATTTCTATCATTGTTTGAGGAAAGAAAGAAAAGTTTAAAGTCTTCACTTTGATTTAGCGATTATAGTTAAGTGACTTTTTATATAGTAATATTTTTCGTTGTACATATTTGTTTCTTTCCTAAACATGTTCTAGAGTCCTGGAATGTCTGACGAAATGAAGTCAGCAATAAAAACATATTTAAAATCCACTCCAATGTATCCTGCCAGCTCACTGGATTCAAAAGCTGAACTGTTGAATGTTGTTGAAGTAAGTTGAAACTGTTTTCTGTTAGATTAATTATAAAATTTGATAAAATTTTTTTCTCGTCATTCTACTTCCGCGACTTCAGTTGCAATCTTCAAAAATTTTATCTGTAGTGTTATGATAGGTATCATTCTTTAGAATATTGCGGGAGTTGGGAAGAGTGAAGATATCGAAGAGCTGAACATCAGTATTTCTACACGCAGTTCTCAAGAAAGAGCTATAGAGAACAATGCTAAGGATATCTTCAAAGTAGGTCTGTTTGTGCCAGGATCGGAATTTTCTGCCGGAACGACTGAGGCCAATTCTTACTCTGGAATAGAGATGAATGATTTTGTCGAGGCCTCGTTTACTGAAGTAGCAGGTTCTCCAGTTCTGCCAGTCGAAAATGCGAAAGCCATCTCTTCAATCACACCGAATTGCCTTGCAGCACAAGTTGGTGAAGGAATGGCATCTTCAGATAAGCCAAAAAATCTAACGCTGTCGGCATGCAAAAATAAAGTTTTTGCAACTAGGAATTTGAATTTGGATAACCTATCCTCACCGCGAGAGTTGGCGAGTTACGCTGAAGAACGAGCGCAAAATTATTCGTTTCTAATCAATGAAGCCTACTGTGAAACGTCAGTGTTTTGCGAGAATTGTTACTCTATGCGCATCGAACTAGGACTTTTTTCGGATAAGTTTGCAGCATTGACAGCTACTGTTGGAGATCCGGCTGCAGAAGGGAATATAGCTTTTGTTGCCGAAATGGAAAATTTATTGAGAAGAAAACAAGCGGAAATTGTTACATTGTCATCAGAGTTGAGGGATTTAAACCAGGCAAATGTAAGCATTAGTTTTTTGGAATACTTATTTTCGAGAAATGCTATTGTTTTTAAATTGTTGAAAACATGTTCTGATTGGATGATTGGTGTTTGCTTTTTGTTTTTGTTTTCGTTTTTTTTTTTTTTCTACAGGATCAGCTAAGCAGACAAAAAGAAATCATCGAAAAGGATGCCGAGGATTACAGATTTCTCTTTAAAAATGAAATGAAAAAAAATTAGAAGAAATAGACACATTGCGGAGAAAGGTGGGAACTTTATGCAACTTTTTTTCCTAAATTCCATAGAACTAATTTAAAGTGACTCTTTGTAGGAATTTATATTTCCAAAAATCTTATATTGTGCAGCGTAAAACTGTGAACTAATATGTATCAAATATGTTTTGTAGTTGTACGAAACAGAAGATTTGGTAAATGAGTTGAAGCAAGCGAAGCCAAAGCAGTCGTTTAAAGGAAACACTTCACACAATGGATTTGATACATCTTTGATTGAGGTCAAAATTAATTGAATTTTGTTACAAATCTCTTTTGACTGGCTTTTAAACTTTTGAAAATACAGTTAATTTTCTGCAGTTTTTATTACATCAACATTTTACGTCTTGCGTTAAGGGATGTCAAATGGAAGTTCAGATTGGAATTATACGACAGCAGCTCGATACAGCACATTCTTTGCATCAGAAAGCTCAAGAAAGAATAAAGGAACTTGAAAGTAATCTACAAAAGGTTGTAGAAGAGAAAAACCAGCTCTCATTGGAACTTCAAGAGGCTCAAATCAATTTGGTAAATGAGAAAGACGATCGGATTTCGTCAAATGAAAACAAGCATATTTCAATTATATCTCTGTTGGAAGCCAAGGTTGCAGAACTTGGCAATAAAATTGACGAGGCCTTTCGTGTAAAAGAAGATGAAACCGTGAAACAAAAATCATTTTTGTTTGAAAAACTGGCATCGCTACTGGAGAAAATGAGGACTAATGTAAAAAGCAACGTATTCGCTAGCGAATGGGAAGCAGACGATATAGAAATTTCTGTTATCTATTTTGAAAGAGCTGTAAACATTATTTGTCAAGATAATCCTCAATTTGAAATATTGGTCGGAACAGTAGCTCAGCATGGAAAATTGGCTAGAAATAAGTACAAGCAGGTACTTTATAGCATATATGTATGTAAGTCATGACTCGATTCTACGAAGATCATTCTAATTTTTATTTGGACCAAAAATTTATAGTTAGAAACGATGATGGAAGAGGTGGTAGAGGAGAAAAAGAAGTGGGAAATGTTATTCACGAATGAGAAATCGAGGCTTGATAGTTTGCAAGATGTGATGTTGGCTCAGTTTTGTGAGAACAAGAATTATTTCTCAAATTTATTGCAGGTTGGCCTTGTTTTGTCGTCATTATTTTAATCTTCGAATTTTTGCGCTTTAGAGTCCTTTGAAGTCTTATATAAGTTTTGACAGTTTTTTAGGATTTCCAAAACAAGTGGGCAGATATGCTGCATTCTGTGACACAGCTTCCCAGAACGGAATCTGAGGAAAATCGAAATTGTGCCGTGCTGGAAATATTACATCATATAGAAAATCTTCAGGAAGTAAAGTTGAATGTTGATTATGGTCTTAGTTTTAATAGTTCATTCATCATGATATTATGTTTATATCGAATTTTCAGAAGTTGAATGAAAAATGGTCGAAGGATTCGAATGAGCTGCAGAGATGCATTGCTTGCCTGAAAGAACAGCATTTGATTGTAACCTCATTCCAAGCAGAATTGCAAGAAATGCGTAATAGAATTGAAATGCTGCATGAGACTGTACAAAAAGACTTCAAAAATTCAAGTGCATTGCTGTGTAGCTTGCAAGGTCGAGAAGTTAAACAGGTAAGTCAGATGGATTCTATGAAGAACCATTATGAAAGAGGAAGAGATATTTTCAAGGGAATATGCGGATATGATGAAGAAATGGTGTTTCTTTAAGAAATCTTGGGCTATCTCATACTTATGTAGAATAACGCGTTATCTTCACTAATTTTGACAAGAACTATTGCCATTTTTGTATCGCTCTTGAGTCAAATTCTATTGATTCTAGGATTTAAAAAGGATGGTTGAACACTTGCAAAAAGTTGAAGAAGATATAAAACCTCAAAACACAGTTTTTTGTAAGAATTTGGATTTCGGACTTAAAAATTTTGGTCCAGTAATTCATGTTACTGAAAATTTGACAAGGGAAAAAGATAACTTGGAAAACGAAAATGTAACCCTCAAGAATACGATTTCTAAATTGGAAAGAGAAAACAGAGATTTAAAACAGGTAATGTTTTAGGATGTAAATCCATACATAGAATATAAATTATTGATTATGTGTGTCACTCCAGTAATTTTAAGCACCAACTCTAATCCGCTTTGACCACTTCATCTGGATGTGGGAATTGGCAGATGTAACCCCGTCTCTGTATCTTGCGCTAATTGATTGCAAACAACGTAGAACATAGGGTAATTTATAGCAAAACCGTACTCTGCTTTCAGTCACACTATCAGATAATGCTGACAGTAAATACTGGTATACAATCGTCATTTTGTGTTATTTTTAAGTTGGGATTTATTTTATTCTCCTTTGAAAGCTTTTTGCAGATGGAAGAAATGTACACTCTACAAGATAAAAAAACTGAGGAGCTGGAACATAGATTAAACCTTCTCCAAAAGGAAAATGAACGATTAGGAAAAGCTTGCGATGATGCGGATGAAGAAGTCAGCGACCTTAAAGAACAGATATTTGAATTGTTGCGTGTTAATGCCAAACTTCAAGCTGAAATGGTTTGTTTTAGAAAGTGCAAACTCTTTTTTCTCCTGTCTTCCTCTTGCCCACTCCTCTTTTCTTTTGCAAGTGTCATGTGATTTCTACGAAATAATTTTACCTAATTTAACGTTCCGCAGTACTGCTCAGAGTGTTTGCGATTCAAACCTTTTAAAAGATGAACTGTCATCTTGAAACTTAGGTGACAATAAATACTTTATCAGCCAGCATTTTGCTACTTCAAAATATATTATAAACATTGGTATTATTCTGGTCTAAATGGTTCTTTTGAACAATAAATCACATGCTACAACAGTTTCACTTGTGCCTGAACGATTTTTATAACCCTTTTTATCATTTTTTAGCCTCAAAGTTTTTTTTACTTTCAATATTTTCTTTATTTTATTATTGTAATGTGTAGTAGTTATTATATTTTAGCATGGCGAAAGTGAAGATACTGTAAATCGAAGAATGGGCTATATTGAACCACCTGCAATTCTACCTAGAAGTCATCTTTCAATTCAAAGGACTACATCAGGAATGAATTCGCCAAACGTGAAAGTAGTGGATGTAACGGAAAGTCCTCTGGAATGTTAGTTTTCACAGGTTTTTTTTTACATCAAGTGTTACTTTATTAATTCAATAACAGTGTTAAGGTCACACTGCTTGCTTTCTATAAATCAAGGATACGCATCTATGTTGTATAAATCTGTATTTAATTTTGATGCATTTTCGTTTGGACATATATTTTGAAATTTTACAAGCTATTAGGAGATATCGAAATAATCGATTTGTAGCAAAATTGGTTGGGAAGGTTGAGGACATTTTAAAGGGAAAGCAGAAGTAGAAAAAAGAAAGGAGATGCAGCGATTAGCAAAGAAAGATGTGCTAGCAGAAGCTGCAAAAGCTTTAACCAAGAGGATACCTTCTGAAGAATCACCGAAATCGAAGGCAATCCAAAACCAATCGTGCCGCACCTCATGATATGATTATTTTTTATAAATGACATTAGTTTTAATCTTCTGTTATATTGATGCTTTGCTATGAGTTCCTCAGTTATTTCTTTTACGAATTACTTATAATCAAAAAATTAGCTATGAATATCGATGGAGGCAACCGCTGAATTGTTTTTGTCATAGATTTTCCAAATTTCGTGTAAGTGATCATTTCGCTCCAGACATTAGTTTGTTTCTTAACTTGCATTTACTTTTGATGATTCATACACTTACGCAGTTTCTCCTATTTAACATCGCTTGTTTCTGAGTTTATAGACACGTCGTTTAAGAAGTTTCATGTACTCCACGATAGTTACTTTTGTTTCATTGCTTCTTCAACTGTTTTGAGCGCGCATCCTAGTAAAAAGACTTTTTACTTTTTAGACTTCTTTACTTTTTCTGATGCAATTGTTAATATTTCTTGTAGAGTCTGTATTAATTTAGATTTTAGAAGGCAGTTTACTAAAGAGTCCAACTTATTTCTTGATTGCTTTCTATTGTTGGTTTAAGCATGTCAGTACTATCAGCTGCAATCCATTAGATGAATAAAAGCACTCAAGAAATAAATTGAACTCATCAGTAAACCAAGTTCAACATCGATAATCCACCAATCCTTTACGATGCTTTTCCAATTGTTTAAATTGTTTTTTATTGCAAAAGTTAGCTCAGGAAAAAATGTTTTGGGCTGATAATAATGATGATTTACGAAGAGAGATGACCAGGAACTGTATCGAAGAAAAAAGGGAAACTGCTGCTTTTAATTTTAGTAGTTTAGTATTACAACGACAAACTGGTTTTAGGGGTTATTTTGGGCCGTCTTTTAAGATTTTGCTGCACTTTCAAACAGAGAGATCAAATGAAGATTGTTATGTGGGCTGCAGAAAGGCACTGACCGTGGTTTGATGATGTTCACTGTATTTTTGCTGAAATGATCCTTGTATCTATTGGGCACTGCTATTCATTAAATTGCATAACCATGCCAACAAAATGAGAACATGATAAACACTGAATAAGAGATGAAGTGTTGAAGATGATTGCCTAATTATATATGGGAATGATTTGACATTGTGTATTTCAGTTTATTTCATGAAAGATGAAGGAGGAAATGCTTTCTGTTATCTGTTTCCAACTCTTGGAGAAGGACTAAGGTTGAGGAATACTTCCAGGTCAGTGAAGTGCGTTACTCAAACTAAATAGTCGATAGAGCCACATATCCTACTTGTAGATTTGTGCAAAAAGAATTGTCATTTATGCCAGACATTCGTCGCCAACATCTACTGGATTTTAGTGCACCTGTAACAAACGGAGAGGACTGAAATCTAGAAATGACTATTCTCTTTGACTGAATAATGTTTCTTCAAAGAAAACTGCTGAGCGAACCCTGCATAACAAATGAGCTTAATTCATTCATGGGTCTCTGATGCACTGTTTGGTGCATTTGTCAAATATCTAACAATTGGCATTACAATTACGTGGACGTGTATCATGACGTGTTTACATATGTATCACTGTGTGATAACTTTTGTTAAGGCTGTGAGCTTTGCTTACATCTCCAATGGATCTCATGTACTCCCTTATCTCTCATGGAAGAACTTGTTTATCATAAATGAGAAAATGGTGATATTTTCATAATAGACGTAGAAGGAGAAAGAGAGCTGTAGAAGTTTCGGCATGAAGAAGTGATTTTTCAAATAGAAATGATGGTTTTGCTGCATATTTTTTAGTAGAGAAAAAGTGGGAGTTGTGAATTTATTTTTTTGATTTCTCAATGTTAGTAATGAATGATCTGCGAAAGCTTGCATAAATTTATAACAATATGAAGTGAAATACTAACTGTTCTGAGCTTCGAGGCGTCTTTTTCCTCAGCTAACCCTTCAAGACTGTTTTACAAGTATTTTCCAATAAATTCTCCATCTTTCCACAGAAATTTAGGTCAGTACCTCTAAACTATAGGATGACAACGGTATCTCTTTGGACGATAAACTAATATAATTATAACAATATCATTAGAATTCTTATAGGGGTAACATAGCGGATTGATTATGATAGCTTTGCATCTGAATTTTCAATATGAAGTATGCAGTGCAGAAGCTGAAGTTGAAAAATTGGGGAATGCTCCCTATCAACTTCTCACCCCTAGTTTGAGGACATCTGGAAAATGGATGGGAAGAGTTATAAAGAAATGTTGTAATATGTAAGTATGGAGAAGGGAACTTAATAAATGTCGCTAATAAACGTGAAGTCCTATGGCAAAAAAAAAAAAAAACGAAGATTCATAAATGACTGTGTCGTGACGTACTAATTGGCATGTACCAAATGACTAAGAATTTAGGAACCATTCAAATTCTTTTCTATGAATGTAAGGTGCTATCGCTGTACATAGAACTGTATATATGCTATTGTTTAGCAATGTATTCTAATAACGCTATACTAATGTGCGCTAACAAATACCGCTTTGACAGCCTGCGCTAACAAAGACGCTAATCCTTGTAATCGTAAAACCAGTCCTTGAAGGAAATATATAAATCATGCACACAGCAGGATATTCTTCCTCTCTTTTATTCTCCAGATTGGTGTCTTCGAGATTTGTCTTCTAGTGATGTTTTGGAGCTTAGCTTTACGCATTAATCTGTGTTTTGTAATTCTTAATGATTATGCGATGTTAATATTGTTTCTTTTATCTAAGATTTAATTATTCAAGTTTAAGGTGGAAATAGAAAATTTTGCAACTCTGGTGTCTCGCTGCGCAAAATATTTCCAAGAAAATATAAATTTTCCACTTTGATAAATGCTAATTCAAGAAATGATTATGACTTTAGTCATATCTAATTATTGTTACAGAGAATCGAGAATTTAAACGAAAATATTAAAGCATAAAAAAATAGCACGAATCCCACCTCTGAATTTGCGACAACAAATTCGCACTCAAAACATAGAATGCTTCTGACACTTCAAGCAATCAATAATTGATGTTTAAGATATTTGTCGTCTTTTTTGGTTCTTTATTGATCAAATTCGCCATGATTCCTATAATTTACACTTTAATAATGATTATCACGCTTCCTACAAATCCTCATACTTTTCCAGTGTAACATTTATGTCCTCCATTTGTTTACCGCCGCAACAATAACATTGTTGAACATTTTCTTTAGCAGCGCTATATTTCCTTTCATCAGTATTGATGATCTTTAGAAACAATGAAATTTCACACACAATCAAAGTAGCGATGATCTGTTGAATAATAAATACGGTCATTTCCAGTCATCAATATACCTAGCTTCCTTGCTTCATATAAAACTACATTCAGCATGACTATCCTTCCCATCAGCAATTTCATAAACTGCTGTTTAAAGTTCAATTTTCTAACTGGCATTATTTACGCGATTAAATAAAAAAAGTAAATCACTTGAAGTGATTAACAAATTTTCAAGTGACTGGAAGATTTTTGAATAATGAGTAAGAGGACATTAAAGAAGTGAAATTAATATAAACTGGACATAGATATGGTCTGCACAAGTCAAACATTAAATTAAAGTCGAGCATCAAGTTAAAGTGCTATTTAATTGAATTCATTTGAAATTAATGCTTTACTGAGTTTACTTTTTATCGCAATTAAATATTAATTTCATTGTAATTTTAGTTTTGAGATTTTCAACCGTTTGAAAATAAGTGAGGTTAGTTGGTGGGCGTTTCTTTTAAAATTTAGATGGTACGAAGACGACAAATTTTCCATGGCCTGTGGTGGACACGAAAACCAAACTGACTGTGGAATGGAGTATTCTTTGCCCCATTAATATCCGCATTGTTTCCTTCCACAGATCTATTACGAAATATAATATTTTCGGAATTGTGGGAAAAGTTTGTAGATGTAAGCATCATTCAGGAAAAGTAGATAGAGCAACCTATCACTGGGATATGCGCTTTTCCTAGGTATTAATCAAAGATGCTAGACTGTAATACTGCCTGCCGAAAATAACATTTGTAATGGTATAAAGAGAAGATGGAAGTCGAAAAACCGAAAACTTTTCCAGAAGGTTATTAAAATTCATTATTCATTTGCTTGAAGCAGTCAAAGCTGATGAAGAAATTAAAAGAAAAAGCTTAGAAGTTCTTTTGGAAAGCTATAATCATGAAACTGCTACATGCTTGAACTTTTTTTACTTCTGTCCCACAAAATTTTGGCTTTTTAATTATTCTCGGTAAAATTAGTTACACTTGTCAAACACTCATCCCTCATGATCTGCTTAAGCGAGGGTCGTATCTAGATGGTAGTAGAAGTGCTCTCACTGTTTTTGATGTTTCAAAATTTCTGTCGGGAGAAATTTTAGATTCGCAGCTTTCTTAGATGGAGCTCGGAATTTTCTTTCTTCAATGAATAATCAGATTCAAGTGTATTATAGATACAACGCTACTCTACTCTATCATTCTGACCTTGTAATGAGAGGCATGATTGAAAAGTCCGTTGTATTTGCAAAATTACATTTTCTAATCAAATTGTTCACGAAAGTTTATTTTATTTCGTGGAAACATAGTCTGAAATGTGTATTTAATTTGTTGAGACAAGTGGAATTCTTCATTCTTGTATTTATCATTACATAGTTATACATTTACAGAATTTATCATTACATAGTTGCACATTCACATTTGCGCACTCAAAGAAAGCCCGGTTTTAAACTCAAATACCTGAATTTGTAATTACGTTGGAGTCGAAAAAGATGTTCGCAATTTATCCTTCTTCATTAAGTAAAAACGAAACATATTTTCAGGAATTCAAGAACTTATGGTTGAGGGAAATGCTATGGCACATGGAATTTCGGAGAATAGGAGAGCAATTAAGAAAGGAAGAATATTATTACATTTACATATTCTAAATTACGGATACTGTCTTCTATCTTTTCGACATCTATTTGAAGTGAAATGTTGAAATAAAAATATTCTGAAAAGTTCTCTTTCCCTACAAAGGAGAAAATTTTAAATGATGCAATCACCATGATCTTTGTTTGCATTGATGTGTTATAATGCGTTTGCATAGTCCGACCAGGAAAGATACAAATCCGTACTTTTGGTGGAATAGTTACCTTTCCTTCGTTCTTTCTCCATTAATACGCAACAAGTTGTTATGAGACTCCCTGGAAGCATGCATAGCAATCGATGGCGATGAACTGATTGGACATGTGAAATTTCCAGTTATGTGCCGCCAATTGTCGGTATTAGTAAAAGCTGAAAAGTGGTTCGGAAGCAAATTGAATTCAACTTTAGTTTAGGAAATAGTAAACAATTGATGCTGATGGCTGGCTTACTGAAGAAGAAACCAGTTATTGAGCTGTTCGGTCAGTAGATTATATCATCGTATGTTCGGTATCCGTTGCTGTTACATGACAAGGAGATCCGGGAACTCCCACAATAACCATTATTGTTCTTTTCTCAGCAGATGCCTACTTTTATTTCACGTTCTCTATCATTGCTATTGCTACTATCGCAGAACAGAAAGAGCACTTATCGACAAGCAGTGGTGATCTTTTATCGGAATGAAATAAATAAAGTAAAGGGACAATCTTGTGATACCTGATTAGTGGTAGGGGTGAAAGGGAAAGGTGACATTGTCAATGGTAGCATTCTTTCCGCATCCTTGCACTGAGCTGATTTAGAAAAAGTGAAAGTACTACTGCCTCGCTGTTCCTGCAGGTGCAGATGTAGGTGCTACAAAGATCATCCATGGCAACCCGATAGCAGGTTGTAAGAAGAATGAGGAAAGATTTGACAGGATAAAGAGAAAAGATTAAAAAGGATAGGAGGAAAGATTGAATTCTAATGATGGTGATTTACTGGTGGTTTCTTAACCTGTGAACGCCGAAGGAAATCTGTTGTGAGAGAAGGGAGTATTCGCTGCTTGATGGATGACCATCTCGCATCGCAACCACGACCACGACAGTGGTCGAATGTGGACATGAAAAGAAAGGGGCTGGCAAAAATTAGAAACGGAACATCGTCGCACTACAAGAGAGTGGCAGTAAAGCGAAAATGCGTCAGTAAGGTGCTCAAATGATGACCCAACAGGTTGCTTCGGCTATGACTACTCTATCGATATCGTTACTGCTTCTGATCCAAGTTATCTTGCACATCCAGTGGGTCCATTCCATTCCTATACCTAATTCACAAATCGGTAACTCTTACTATCACTTTTTCATGTTTCCGAATAGTTAGTGGACATATGTATAATAAGTGTCAATGATCATCCTATCCATCTTGCAAATTTTGAAGCGCAAAGGATTTTCTTCCACATGCATAAGATGCTTATTTATACACTGATTGAATTACCAGTGTTCTCTTGCAGAAAATGATCAACATGCAAGTAGTAATTCTTGCCTAAAAGTTAAGTTATGTAATTTTCGCGAGCACATGAAAACTACTTTGCTACAGGTTCTAAAATTAGCACACAAGCGCATTCCTCAGCAGTTATCATTTCCGTATCGCATTTAAATGTTCGGATTCGATATTTTGTAGAAAAAAAATTTTTTATGCTATTTGTGGTTTGAATTGTAATAAAAAAACAATATAAATTATAACCGAGAAAGTTAAAATCATATTGAAAATCAGTGTTACCACACTTACCGAAAACTTTTTTCTTTCACTGCGACTCGTGACATCCATTTCAAAAGTTGTCCCATGAGAAGTTTCACTGTCAGCTGTATCCACCGTAACATTTTTGCCATGTTAGTATGAAAACAAATTAAATTCACATCTTTAAAAGTGCTATGTTAGTTATAGTCAGGTTTTTTTTTTTTGAAAACATGAGAATTTCAAGAGTTCAACAAAAAGATCTTATGGAGAAATTGCTCCAAAACCGCCTCCCACTACTTTCTCACATCTTACAGTTATCAGTAGCAATAAAATGAACAACGTAGTGATTATGTTTTTGCTTTCCACAAGGAATACAGTACTAGTTGGCTTAATCCTGAAAGTTCCTCGACCAAGATATCATTTACACTTTGCCTTCAGTGTAGCACCGTGGAGCGAAAAAGTCAATATTTTGATCGACAAGCAATCAGTTATTTTAAGCCATAAACGAGCTTATTATTCAGTGTAATTCTCTTGTATTAATATAATAGATCAGACATTTTACACATTTTTTTTGTCATTTTTTTGGATAATGATTTGCCAAAGAATTTTAAGGATAGGAAGATTTTAAGAACTGTAAATTTGAAAGCGAACTCTTCAGATCAAAGTTTGCTAAGGCACAGGATCAATGCCTCAAGTTTCTGCAATACTTCCAAGTGTGGTTTAAAAAAAGAAATATTTCAAAGGAAATTAAGGAAAAAATTTAGCCGAAAAAATTGGAGTGAAGCATTGTTTGGTTTAAGGTTAATCGATTTTATGACTTCTGGATATTTGAGCAGTCATGATTTAGGTTATTTTTGGATCGTTGCATTGGTCATTATACGAGAAAGTTAGAACCTTTTTTCTTTTGTTAGAAAAACTCCGTTCATAGAGCCACTTTTGGAAGTTGTTTCTTACATTAAAAAGAGAACAGGTTTCGATGGCTGGGATTGTAATAACAATACCTTCAAACATTTTTATGAGCTCACTTTACTGAATTCAAATTAAAACTTGTTAGGAAATTATTGTTTTCACTGGTGAAAATAAATTTGAAATAAAATTGAGCTGAATTTAACGATTCAGTATTGACCATCCTTTACCTTTTGACCTCTCAATGCATTGTCGGATCTCATCACAATTGTATCGAACTCCATTTTTTGAACAGCCAATTTTTCAGTTTTTTTTTTTCATGAAAATTGCACTAAAATTTCTCCTAGAAGTTTGTGTTAAAAATTATTTAACTTGAAAATTTTCAGGTTTTTCCATTACATCCTTTTTTCAGAAAATTCGGAAAATGTAAAGACAAGTAATAATTTTCAGGAAAAGCGGAAGTGGAATGCGGTGAAGATACGATCGAAGTAGTGTTCTTGACAGAAAGCGTATTCCAGGGTCGAATTTATGTGGTAGGACATTCAAACGACGGGCGTTGCGTATCACGCGATACTGGACGTCGCACTACATCGATCACAGTGAGGAAAGATCAGTGTGGTGTCGCTATTACCAGATCCGTTAGTTTATTTCATCACTGTTGATTACTCATAGACGTGTCTTTTACAATTCGTCCATGCTATGCATTCGACGACATTCATATAAAACGACACATTGAGCACAACTATTTTAAACTGTCTAACTTAGACTATCAATGACCTTTGCACCCTCTTCTACGACTAATTCCTGTCCTCTCACGTCTCACATCCGTCATTGGCGTGGTATTGAATAGGCTAAACGAATTGTTTCTTTCAGCACTTTTATGGTTATAAAAGAACTTGTGTTATGATGAAATCTCTAGTCGGAGATTGCGACTTATATTTACTTCTGAAGTAAATGTATCTGCTCACTTCTACAATGAAATTAGCTTCCGTTGAGCATTTGGATATCATCGTAAAACTTCACTGTTTTTACTTTATCTCCCCTGATTTTCCAAGTGGCTTGTTCGCAATTTGGGTTAAGCTCTTACAAGTATTTTGTGAATCGAAGTGCAGCGAGGTAATTTAGTTGCATGCATATATGGAGATCGAATTCTGGTTATAGTCCAGTTCAGGAGAGTTATCATTCTCTTGTTAATTGAAAAAGTCGCAAGGTCGGAACAGGTATAGCACACAGAACTACTTTTTCTTCAGCTTTCCGAGTCAAATCATGTATTACCAACGAGCTCCGCTGTCAATAACTAACATCTTCCATTTTCAAGTTGTAAGTGTGAAATTCTTCGAGACTAGCAGTCTCACAGCAATTAAAAATAGTGATCGAATTTGATAAATCATTTATATTATGATTAAAGATGTAGCGCTTCGGTCGATTATCAAACAGGAAGGGTTAATTACTGCGTTATTTTACCTTCTCAGCATTCATCATTTTGCATCAATAGTGGGAAAGACTTTTTATGGAAATTAACATTTTTTAAAAAAATCATTAAATTTCAGCCCACCATTCTAGTACTGTTTTTCATAGAACACGATGATTGATGAACAAAAAGTATTAGATTTTACATTTTTTTTTGATGAAAAATGGAGAGAGATTGTTTGTTTTGAACAAACAATAAAAAATAGCAAATGGTCGCAATGCAATTTCCGCGATCACCTTACCTTTTCAATTAGAAACAGGTATATGGCATAAGGAAAAAAAGTCGTAACTTCTTCACTGTTCAGATCTATGGATAAAAAATGATCTATGAATGGGAGTAACAAAAGTAATTGGTATTTATAATCTTTTCAATTTCAATTCAATTGCATTCTAAGACACTTTCTTTCACCAACATCTTTTCATTTTCTTATTATTCTATTTTTTATTAATCACTATTTAAGAAGCGAAATAAGATATATTTGGCAGGCAGTTACAAGGTATTCATTGTGCCGTCCACATTGTATAATTAATTCGTATGAAATTGAGAACTACCAAATCCCTTATTATGTTTGGAATTAGGTAAGGAACCAAATTTCCGATGACAGAATGTCTGGAAAAGTAGTGAAATTTTGGCCTACATTTTAAGTTACACGACCGCTTTATGCGTCATAATTTTTAAATTTAGAAACGTTTTAGCGTTACTACTCTCATTCAGTTATGTGTGTAGAACAGGTATACAAAATTTGTGTAATTGAAGCGACTAAAAAATTGAACCAGCACAACATCCTGTTAGAGCAAAATTGTTAAAATTGTTGTTGACTGGTAATCAGGGTTTCCTTTTAAATTTAAAATTCTTATTCTCATTTTTCATCACACCTAAATTTGGACAAACTTTAGTCGCAATGAAAAATTATTTTCTCAGTTTATGCTTTAAATAAGTGAATGTCACTTCTAAAACAGCATCATGTTTTATTATCAATTCCAACGTAGTTCATTCAATCTCTTTCATCTCACTCTTCAAATTGATGACTAAGCACTATGCACAATACCACACTGTCTTTTGTTGCTTCTCATAGAAGTGAAAGTTCAATTTTTCAAATTCATCATTAACTGAATCCCAATATATTCGAAAAAAACGTTCAATGAATCGGTCCATATTAGCAATTTAATGAATTCATCCAGCAGTCCAAACACTAAGAGAGTATGCTTATTAAGTGGGCACAATCGTCTAATTTAATAATACCAAAAATATTTCCAAAAATCCTAGTAGTATTTATTGGAATCATTTCTGCTAACAGTTTGATTAATAGCTTTTGTTTACTGAATTATGTGAGACCTCTATGTGAGAAGATATTCTAGTATGTGACAGATAGATTAACGTGTAACAAACGATATGTCAAACAGCAGCCTTCACTGATATAACTTGTTTATTTTTCATGAAATTTTATCCCGAAGACCTCATTTGTGAAGACATTTTCATGATATGTGACATCGATGAAGATGAACTGTTGACATACAGCTCGTGGAAAGAATTTTGATGGTTTCTGTAGAATACTGAATGATGAAACGAGAAAAGCAAACAAAATGAATACGATAGACTTAGTCGTCCATTTATTGTTATTTCAAAAGACTGAAATTGATTAGTATTTGAGAATCTATGCAAGATTAAACATTTTCCAAGTCCAGATATTTTAACGGATAAATTGAAGTATCAGTTAGAGCTGGAAGAATTATCTTCTGCTAAGGACAATAACTACTTGCTTTTAATAAATCTTATACTTGCTTTCATATTCATTAAAACTCTGCTAGATTTGTCGAGGAATTCGAGAGAGTATCACAATTGCTGAAATTCGCGACATGAAAGACAGTCACACATAATTTCCTAATTTTTTTTTTTCAAACAATGATTTTCTTGTTGACAGCTTTAATTTGTTTATGTTGCGATTGTGACTGTATGCAGAAAAAAACTGAGTAGTCTAGGAAAAAAAAATTTGAATCTATAATTTATTTTTCGAAATTTGAAGCAAAAATATGTTCTAGGGGATGTCAGTGAAGAATTTTTGCCTTATTTCCATTTTCCCATATTCTTTTCTTATCTCAGCAATCCTTCGTTAAAAACCTAACAGTTATCTAACATTCCGAAGACATGGTCAAGATTTTTAGCTAAGGAAAGTGGAAGGATTGCTGGGATAACAAAAGGATAAGAGAAAATGAAAATAAGGCAAATTTTGATATTTATCCATTCGCAAATTACATTCTTAATTTTTTTCTACGACCGATGAAAAATCGAACTTCTTACAACGAACTAACACATCATGTAATACATCGTTGCCACACTTCTTATTTGGTTATCAATAAAGTAATAATTAATTGGCTAATTGAGTTTCACGTAATGCATAATTGAAATCGAACTGGATGATCCTAAACTAATTCCCTGAATTACTATTAACCACTGATTTTTATATCTAACTATATCGATGTTGACATTTTTCGAGTTGATCGATGCCAAAAAAAACCAGTATGTAATTACAGCTTTAGGAGTAAGAATCTTATCAAATTCTATTAAATTACTTTACACGAGGACGAAGAAATATTTATCTCATCCCACTGATTATCGAAGAAAGCCAGTTTTTTTGAATTTCTTGATTGGATAACCATAAATGTTATTTTCTCATTTAAGTGACATGTCGTCGTGTTATCGTCATAAAACAGAATCGGTAATGGGAGCACGTTTTTCGTCATCCGTAAAACAGAAGACTTCTTTTAATTAGTGGGTGTAAGTCAACTAATTATTAATAAATTCGTCTGTCCTATTCTTGTGAGAATGACAAATGTCCTAGATGATCTTAAAAGAGATCTGTAAATGGAATAATATTAATGCGAGAGACGAATCACTTTAGTCCTTTCAGTTACCTTACAAAATAGCGCTTATTTATTGCTTTGTCATTTTGAAAAGGATGAACGAAAAAAGTGAACTACAAAAATCCAACAAGGTTTCAAAGTATTGCACCTACAATTAATTGTCAAATGTTAAGATCAAAAATAAAATAACTGATGTTTTAGACTAGATTTATCTTTTTTTACTAAAATATAAATTTCATCGATTGCAGACTAATCCACCAGGTATGTTCGCTAATGTAAAAGTGATGATTTCGTTCCACGAGGAATTTATCACGAAAGTGGATAGGGTCAGTTTAACATCCCTTTGATCATCAAAATTTTCAAATTTTAAAGTAAAATAGACAAAGATTACAAATTTTATGACTGACCAGAAGACCTCACTATCTTACATCGTCTTGGTGGGATACAGATTTTGTTTTCAAATCGATCAGAAGATCATTTATTTGCTTAAAGTTATTAGACAAGAAGAAATAAGTAACTTTGTGCTTCGATAAATTTCGAAACGTAATTATTGATGATTGCTGAGATAGACTGCTCTTCATTTTATATATGTTCATTTTTAGGGTTATGAAATTAGCTGTTTTTACATGGAAGCAGATAAAACAGTAACATATCCATTGACAGTATCAATGAAATCACTAGAACCGTTCACAGAGCTGGCCGAAATGCCACGATGTCGTTACGAAGTAGTGGATCCAATTTCTATGGAACCGTTATCGGTGGTTTCTGTTGGTAGCAAATTGCTTCATAAATGGAAATGTGATACCACTTCTACAAGTAAGGTATTTGCTATTGCATGTAAGCTAATCAGCAACAGCTTAATACGCAGATCGGATTAGAGGTGAGGATAGTGTTTCAGGTAGCATCAGTTCAATAAATAATTCGGATAAATGGTACTGCAACTGCCAGATTGTTCTCGTATTACATTACCGTTGCACAATGATTGGCATAATTTTATCAATATTTAATGTTCTAGTTAAGCAAGTCTAAAAAGATTCACGATGTCGCATTGACCTAAAAATAGAAATTAGTTATATAAAAAAAAATGAATCAACGGGGTCACATTTACTCTTATATTCCATATAACTCATAATAAAAATTATGTTTCATACAATTAGCAATATTTCAAGAATTAAAAACTTCTAATTCATCACAATTCTTTTTTTGCTTCCGGATTTATCAGTGCAGTAACTGGTCTCTCGCTCTTTTATTTAAATCTAAACCAAATTTCAATTAAAATTAAATTTCTGTTGCTATGACAACTTCAAACATTTAGATCTGTGGTGTATGACGGTTCATTCATGCTTTGTCGAAGATGGATCGGGCACACAATTTGTTATACTTAACGAAGATGGGTAAGTTTAACTTTTCCAACTTCACTACTTTGTTTTTAAATTTCTGAAATGCTTTCAACCTCAGTTTTTTGTTCATGGTATAAAAATCATTTCATTTTAAAAATCCACAATCTTGTCAGGATCAGAATAAACATAATGTATTATAGTGAAAGTTATTCAGATTCTAGTGAAAGTGGAAAATTTGAAGAAGGAACTTTTTTTAAACTACACCGGTGATATTTGAGCATGAATTATATTTCATTTAGATGTGCAATCGATCGGTACCTGTTGGACAACCTAGAATACGGTCCTAATGAATTAGAAGCACAAAAGGAAGCACATGCTTTCAAATTTGCGGACAAAGTAGTAGTGAACTTCCAATGCTCAGTCAGGTTGGATATCCGAGATGGCGAGTGCCCAGTACGTTGTTTTTCGATTATAATATCATACAAATCTTTTGAGATGTAATAACACAAATGAGTAATACAAATTTCATCAAAGATTATGCTCTGCAAAAAATTGTCAACAAGTTGGCTTTTTGCAAAAGTCTTAAAGTCATAAATTTATATGCTCACACCTACCTTCTTTTACAGAATATTTACTCGTGCTATTTCTAAATTTTCCGAACTTTGTCTAAAAGACTAGCTAAATGGAGAGAACCGTCTAGTTAATTCCAATTTTTTAAATTTTATTTCCACTTTGTAGCTATTTTGTGTTTTTCTGTTTGCTTGAATGTGAATATATATTTTGCGATGTTCAGAAGCCACAATGCCGAGATTTGAGCAATCAAAAGAAGGCAGTAAGACGACGAGCATTACCGGATTTACCTCTAATATTGAACTTGACTGACCACATGGCTGAAGTAGACGTCCGTTCCCAACAGCTCGATGTATTGGATACTCAACTAGGTAACACTTGTTGCTGCTTATTAATATTATATTTTATAAGGTTTACATCATTAAATCATTTCGTCTTTCATCCTACAATTATACTAAATGTAGATTTCGGCGTTCCACCAAATAATCCTCGGGTAGCCGCACAGATTCGTCGATTGCAAAGGCCGGAAGGTGACTGCATCAGTGCGACATCAGCAGTCGTTGGCGCTTCACTCTCTGTTATGGTGATGCTTGTATTAGTCGTTCATATCGTGTACCTTTACAGAACGACACAACTTAAACGATAGTAGGACAAAATTAGACGGAACTTAGAGTTGACATAACTATTATGGTTTCTATTTTTGCTCTTCCTTTGGTTCTTTTTTTTATAAAACATATTTTCGGGTGAAACCTGTACTTCTGCTTCTGGGAATGAAGTTCGAAATTTCATTCTTGAAAAAAAAATTTTTCAAAATTTCATTCCCAAAATTTTATTCTTCATCTTTTCATTCCCAAATTTTTTGTAGGAAATGCCCGACTTCTCCTAGCTTTCCCTTGAGAAAAACTTTTTGAGAAAGTGACTCTTTACTGCATAAAGTGACGATCAAGCCTGAGAGACTAAAAATTATTTTCTGCATGCGGGCTACTGAGGACTTATTTGATAAAAGCAGACATAGTTTAACACAGCAAGTTTCACTTCACTTCCCTTGAAATATTTCTGATTCTAGAAAAATCACTTTTTTACTCATTACCTAAGACAGCAAGAAAAGTTTAATCAAGTAGTGCTTAACAAGGGTCCAACTCATTTCGGTTTCATTTAAGTATATGACAACAATTTTGACTGAAACTGGATCAAAACCTTTCCATTTGATTCAGCATGTGTAGACATGCCCTGTTGAGTTTAGTGAACACTGATTGAAATTGTTCAATTACAAACGAAACTTTTTTTGTAGCGTTTATTGCCGACTGAAACCGGAAGTGGGAAGTGTTGTCTTAATGGAACACTGAGGGCGAAAATTCTTTCACTTTCTAATTTTTTTCGTAGTGCTAAAAATTAATTACGTACTCCATTACTTTTTATTCTTGTACCAGTGACGTTACGAGAGTCATACTTTAATTAAATCAGCTGGTTGTCCCAAAGTTCATCCTTTCCCTAAGACCCATTCCTTGGTCATATTTTGCTTTTTGCTAATAATTCAATGACAATGTTTTGTTGTATGTTGTACATTACCATTTGTTTGTCCATTCAATATGTTTGTGAATTTGTGCATTCTTTTGAAATAATATACAACTTTATTCATTACTAAATGAAATTTCTGTTTACCAATTGTTTAATTTTCGATCAGTATTTTGGAAAGTTTGTACCGTATTACTTGTGCGTGGTTCATTACCTGATAGCAAAAAAAGAATTTCAGAATTTTTCTGGATTGTTTGAAAAGACAAAATATCTGAAAAAGTGCGAACAACATTTTTACTGCCACATAAATTAGATAGTAATTCATGATAAAACACCTCTTATACAAATAAAATTGGAATTAAAAGTAAAATAAGTGATAAAAAGTAGGAAGAATATCCTAAAGCGACAATAATTTAAGCATAGTTGCGGCAAGCAAATTAATAATATAATGACATTAGAAATGGTAAGGACCAAAACTGATGCTTTGTGTCATATCTTAACGACTTTAGAAACGAGAAATAGTTTCCCGACTCATTAATTGAAAGCAATTTACGGAGCAATTAATGGCTCCAAGCTATGGCTAAATCGGCACAGTAAAATTCATCAGATTTATCGTAGCAGTCCACGAAACCATCGCATCTTTGCGACCGCAAAATACATTTGCGATTATCACGACACGGGAACATACGTTCATCATGCATGCAAATCGGTATCGCTGCAACAAATTGTATTGATGAACTTTGGAAATATTCTAAAAAAAATGTTCTCTAAGAAAGCCGAAGAGTTCAAAAACAATAAAAATTTGAACATTTGTTTTTGACTTTTATTAGTTGTTAACAGATATTATTAATAAAGTAAAGGATATCGACCGATGTAAAGAAATAGTTTCGGTAAACGAATGAAATATAAAAATACTTACGACATTCCATTTCATCATCCCCATTCCTACAGTTATAGGATTCATCACACCGATATATTAAATTGAGACACCTGAAATACCTTAAAAATTCGCTACTTAATTTGCGACATAAACAGAGTCACCTTTTTTCTTCAGTACTAGAAATTGTATTTTAAAGGAAAAAAAAATGATATAACAAAAAAGAGCATGTGGAAGTGAACTCCTCTAGACTGATGAGATATCACGAGACTGATTAATTATATTTTGTAAAGATTAGGTGCCTAATACATTCAATATTTGGCAAAAGCTAAAAGGAATATGGTACGAACAAGAAAACCTTAACAGTAACCAACTTTTTTACATGGCAGATATGAAATTGATGGGATGGAATTAAAGATTATCAGAATTTCAGAGGCGAAAAAAACTGTTACTCGGAGAGAATTTTTTCTACAAATTTAATGACAATAAGACTGAAGGCTTATAGAGCAGGAACTCAACAGAGATGTTTTTAATAGAAATAAATTTTTAGCAGTAATAATTTTCTCGCATTTATCAATCATTAATTCTAAAATCGAACTTATGATCCGGTTGTGAGCATAGCAGCTGATGTTCCTTACAGTTTGGTTCACAAAGACCGTTTTCATGCATGACAAATCCTTCAGCGCATAGACATTGTGGTCCTGAACCGTCAAGCTTCGGTACACAGATATGCTGGCAAGTTGTCACTTCACAAAGATTAGGAGCTGAAGTACAGTAAGTTGTAATTGAAGAAAAAACACTTCATGACGAGCCGGCAAAAGTCTTTGAAGATTCAGAATTTCACATCTAGAAGTTTTTTTTTGTTCTTTTACAAAAGCACTATACAAGACATTGCGGTATACTTGTAATTTGCATAGCAGGATGATATGCCTTGAGAGAATACGGTGGCAATACGGTTCTCATCAGCACTGTTGAGTTTTGACCGATAAGTTTATCAGCGAACAGAAATCCACGGCGGGTCCAATCACTCCAAAGGATCATGTCGTCAAATACCGTCAATCCGAAAATATGTGGTATCAACTGTTTGTCACTGATTATAACTCGTCGACTCGTTCCATCCAAATTTGCCATTCTAGATCAGAGGTTAGAATTAAAATCATGAAATAATTTGGTTGTGTAAACACTGTAATCGAATAAGTTTCCTCAGCCAAATTATGATGGTAGTCGTGAATTTATATAATTTAATCTTAATATTTAGAAAAATGAATGAACTCAATAACGTCGCGGAAAGCATCGGCCCAGTAGAGACGTCTTGCGAAATAGTCGAGAGCCAGTCCATTTGGCCAAACTAAATTTTCGGTGACGATTTTTTTTGCTTGAGTACCATCCATAGCAAGACGGACTATGAATGGTTTAACGCCCCAATCGCTTGCAAACAGTTCGCTGCAATGAATACATCGATCATCAAACCATGAAGAGTAGATATAATCCTTACAATACTCGAAAAGGGTATTTCGAGAATCAAAAAAGTACAAGAAATAAGTCGAGTCATTTTTAATTTATTGAAGAGAATCAAGATATTCACCTAGTTTCGCTGAGCTTTGCTTAAAAATTGTATATTATACAGAAGAAGAAATATGAATGCCCCTCCATTCTCATTCTGATACTGGAGTGAATAGAGAATGAATGATAATGAAGTACCAGTTCTATTGCTTGACTTGGTGCAGTTAGGAAACGGCGGTTCAATGGTAGCTGTACAATGATTTCAGTATTATAAAATGTTTTCCAAGAAAAAAACTACCGTATCGAAGGATAAGCAACCAAAGCTCGAGGTAATTGAAAAAATCCATCGTAAAGTGATGCTCTATAAAGACCATCAAGACGCTGAACATGCAACTGCTTATGACGTAAAGTATACAAGTTCCTGAAGATTACCCTGATTTTCCTTTTTTTTTTCATAAGTTTTCAAAATTATTTCAACTGGATTTTTTTTGTTGTTTTTTTAAAGGTATTAATCGCAGTGATGGTATTCAGTGTTAATTAATGAGTCAATGATGATTTCTATTGATTAATAATTTAATCAAATGATTTGTGCTTCAGACTATTAAACTATTTCATTCCATAGGATATGGTAGATAGTTAATAACGTTGTTACGTCTCCACTATACTGTCATCACGCCGATACTACTAACATTCGGTGTTAGAGCTGTTAGAAACTGTTATTAACTACTGCCGCATAAAAATCATATTATCCGTAGACTTTAATAATATCATAAGTTGTAATAATGTCATAGGTAATTACCTATGTATCCAGTCAACAGCGATCCCTTCTGTACCTTCAATATCATGATTTTGTATGACATGTACTTTATTCCTATCAAACAAGTTTATATACTGAATTGAATTTCTTGTTAAATCCACATAATATAGTTTTTTTCCTGGAATACAATTTTGCCCTGTAAGTGTTTGCGCGTGCGAATGAAAACAATAAAGGAATTCTGAAAAGATTTGAGTTTTTTAAAGAAGCTAGAAAACAATGACGAATCTTCCTTATGAAAAAAATTTGCCTTAAAATCGTAGTCAAACATGGCCACTTTTTCACCACCATCGCTAGGCATCAAATTAAGCTGGGATTTTGCATTATATGTTATGTTCCATATACTATGCGAATGAGCCAGGAAAAACAGAACAGATTCTGGAAGTATATCTCAGTTTACGCGTTAATCGACGTTCGCTGCGTTATTGTTTACAGCATTACTTGAAATTGTAATCAAACAGAATCAAAAGGCTCAATGAAACTCAATGAATTTGCTATTCTTGAGCAAAAAATAATAAGCCATTGTATAAACAATATCGAACAATTAGGGTGAGCTAAGGTAAAAAAAAATATAAAGAATAAATGAACCGTTATCAGTTCGATAGCATCGACGACCATTTCGAGCCAATTTGTACAAAGGACCAAAACACTCACAGTCATAACTACCTGGCTTATTGATACACTTCTGAGAACAAAAATTCTTATTGGAGGTGCATTCATCTACATCTAAATTTGCGATATAAGGTATAACTTTGACTTTTAGTGCTAAATGTTAAACTGAAAAGTGTAATTTGACTTGTTGATCTTCCCAGTGAATTCGTTCACTACTTTATTAAATTATCTAACATCATTTTCTAGATGCAAGCGAAAATGGATTATTTCGAAATGTCATGATTCAAAATTTAAATCCGCTGAACATGAGAATGCTAAACTTCAAGTGGGCCTCCCAAAATGACTGTTTACAAAGATCTTAAAAATATGGAAAAGATTCGAATACGGTTCTGCAGGCTATTTCAAAACTGAAAACTCATTCAAATGTCCCATAAATCACTTAGAACTAATACCAGATCAAACAAACTTTTTTTTGAAAGTATTTAAGAAATGTCGATTCAAGCTGATCCCAATGATAATTCAGCAAGCTATCAAACTCACCGATACATTTCGCCAACCGTTTGTTATAATAGAAACCCTCTGGGCAATGGGTTACAGTGCAGTTACTACACAACTGGAGATCAGAATCACTGCTATCACCTGTAATATAATATAATATTCCTGAAACCTACTTCTGCATGAATGAGCTATTCGTTTTCCACAATTTATCATTAATCAGAAATTACGATTTATTATTAATTATTAAAATTTGATGATCTCTTCCTCTCAGAAGTGTTCTTTATTTAGCGAGTCAAACAAAGTGATGATTATCAGCAGTCTGAATTGTATTGACGTGCTTGCGATCATTGAGAAAATAAACATTTTAGACAGTAAACTGAGATGAGTTATCGGAAAAAAACCAACCAGAAACAGTTTCATTACCACCCATTGCTTGTCGTCGCAAATAACAGTTGCTATTATTCGCATTAATCAATATCTCAAAGTAGTTTAGGACATTCTATAAAAAATAAAGTAAACTGTTTACGGCGATCATTTGGGAATATCGAACTTTAGGATGCAGGAGAAAATGTTTCAGCTGCGGGAGAGATAAAGCCCTAAAATGTTTGAATTCTTAAACAGTTCAAATTTATGTGATATCGAGTCAATAAATTCCAGCATCAGTGTTCTGAAAAGCTTATACAATTTCTTAACCAATAAGTCTCACATTTCTCTTCTCTCAAAATTATTCAAAAAGCCTATCTAAACACTAAGAGCGACCCGAAATGGCAAAATTTCAAGCAGTTAGATTATTCAAGAGAAGTGACAGACCTCTGAAATTTGAGGACACACTTCGTAAAAAGATTCAGTGATTCCGCAACCAAGGTACCATTTGGCGAACTTACACTGTTGGGATGACAAATCCGATGTTTCCTGATTTAAAATTATTTCCTAAATTTAAAAAATGTTTCCTAAATTTGAAGAAATTTCGTGGAAGCTATGGACGAGAAAGTTAAAAATAAAAAGATAATCATTCAATCTTTATATTTCAAGATACAATTAGTGGCAAGAGTAGTGCTAAAAACGGACAACGGTTATACTAGTCCACTGGAAACTTTAAAGTAAATTCAAAGGCTGCAAAACTAGTATTTAAGTATAAAGCAAAATGAGGAACCGTTTTAGAAAGAAAACTGTATCCATCCGAGAAATGGTCAACATCTGAGCATTTACTTTTGTTATAAATCGAATAAAGTTTTTTCATGCAGCTTTCTTGATTTAATAATAAATTAGTGAAGCTGTTGCTACAGTAATAATCATAAATCTTTTCTAGATGTATATTCATATTCCTGAAAAGTAACTGAATACTAGTAATTCTTGGTCAACACACAAATATAAGCCGAGTCAGCTTAAATAAATAACATTTGAATCTTTGTCAGTTTCAGTGTTGCATGAAATAAACCAGTTATGTGCCACGAAAACGGATATATAAACCTGCATTGAGGACTAATGTCCTGAACATTTTTCTTATAAGTTTTATAAGTTGAGCAGGGATTTCTTTCGATTAATTGGTTAAAGGAAGTTTGGAACAACTGATATCCGGGATGTTCGTATTTTCTCAACTCTATTGCCGCTTCTACTACGTATCGTTCACTCGCTAAATCGCATCGTTCGTTGCTATTTTCATCTTTCAGATTTGAAAGAACTGAAGAAAATAATATGAATAATATGTTGAGCGAAAAGCAACGACATTATCTTTTAAGTTTATGTCTTTCACTTGAAAAAGGCATGAAAATGTAATTTCTGCTAACCTAATCTGTTCAAATGACGCTATTCCGAAATTTTTGCAAAAAAATTTCCCTTACTTCATTGATTGAAATTTATATTTCACAAAAAGGTGGTGTAAAGTAAAAATAATTGCAGTTGGTGCAGGCATACATCAATAAGATCCAAATATATGGAAAACAGATTATTTAATAATACCTCCCAACAACTCATCAGTTTGATTGGAATTTCTCCTGAATTGGGTGATATTTCTTGAATCAGCAAAATTTAATCCTGACAAATTTGAATCCATTTTTCGCAAATTGCATGAGTTTTTATTGGAATTTAAAAGTAATTCGTAGTACCTTCGAATAATCTGGAGATGAAACTTGAAGAAAAAACGAAATTGAAAAATCAGTGAAAATAATATTCATATCAAACATGATATTGGGAAAAGATTTTAAAAAATTAAATACTTACATCCAAAAGATTAAGATAATTCCTTCAACCAAACTCTGCTTGATTTCAACACAATTTTGGCAATCGTCTTTTATTTTTAGCAATGTGTAAGAATGTGAATTAATGTATTGAAGTTGTTTACTTGCCAGATATTTTTGGATAAAGACGGTGTGATGGAGATAAATCTTTTTTTTTTATAATTAATGATTATGTGAATGAAAACCTGAGCAGCAACAGGACATGCTTTGTTGTAAGCATCGGTTAGACTACAATTAAGATACCACTGTACAGCACGGCATTTGCGGTCTTTGATTTCGTTGTGCTCGTATTCCTGAAGATTTGAAAATTCCATTATTTGAAAGAAATTGCCATCATAAAAGTAATGATTAGATATTGGCTTTACTTTAAAGTATTTAAAATATTAATAAGGTAGATAGAAAAAGTCACTTCGACATGCGGAAGATTAATGTAACTCGAATTAAGTTCCGAATGAGTTTACCTACTTTGTTTGCAAACACGAATCATTCTAAATTCATATTAAAAGAGTATCAAGAACTTGCTAATAAGCCTACTAATATTTAACTTAAATATAATATTTTGCCGTACTTTGGAACATTGTGCTGCAAAAATTGCTCATCATAAAGAAACGATTTATTTAATTGCCTGATGTGTTTTATGGTGGTATTTGAGGAAAGTAACTTTGAAAATGTTTATCATTACGAAATATAAGGTCACCAGAATGGATCTTGACCTTCGAAACAGAAATTATTTGTCGCTGGAAACCCGACCAAAGTCATCGGAAGGAATGAACATTTAGATGCCATACTTTTATCATTGGGTTTTTTCTTTCCTATTTCGCTAATTGGAAAGTAAAAAAAATTGAGAGAATCTTATAAATGGTAATATAACTCTCTTTTTGCTCTCATTAATCTCTCCGAAAGAACTTTCAGACTAGTGTTCCACTAGTCTCGGATGCTTTATCTTTTTGTGGAGTTTTTTTTTGTAATAATCAGTTAGTAATTAATAATTAAAACAAATAGAATACCGCCAAGCAATCGTCTTCTATATGTTTACAATCACAATTACTCCAAACAGATTCTTTTTATAATACGACGAAATCATTATTCTCCTCCTGTTGATGTCTTAGACATTCCAACAATTAAAGCATTCCATGTAGGATGCAAATGTAGAGAAATCAAAGACAGAAAAACAAATAACTATGTTTTTTCTGATAAAGATATACTGTAATGAGCTATGCGAGGAAGAAAAGCAGAAGTTTGATTGACAATTAAAATGATGTTTGATACTATCTTTGGGAAAAGACCATATTAGCAGAGAATACCAAACTTTCTGGAAAAGTTAAAAGAGATTAAATGATAAAATTGGAACTAACACTTCGGAAAAGAACTGTTTCTGGATCAGATCGAAAAATAGTATTATTATGGAAGCATTCCGGAGAATATATAAAGTAATCTCGAAGACTATTGAAACAAGCGTGATTTTCGCGTAGCTGTTTTTGCAATCTACTTGAACATATCACGATGAAAAAGTTCTCAGATTGGGCATTTAATATTCTGAAAATTATAATTTAAAAAGTTCTTTGATACAAAGTCATCCTTATTATTTAGTATTGCAGTGATTTGCAGGCACTAACAAACTTTATCCATTTCAGGACCGGATCCAGAATTCTCTGGTGACAGAGAAAGTAATTTCAGATTTGATAATTCTGCTAACACGAAGACATAATGACTGCTTGTTCTACTATCTATTCCCAACATCTCAGAGATATCTTGGAGATAAGTATAAGTATGTCTGACAAGTTTATTCACCATTCGCCTCTAGTGTTTTAGATTATAATTTCAGGTGAAGAAAGCATATTATTTGAAGTACTTTCAAAAAAAAAGAAAAAAAACAACCTGCAATCCTTTTGATACTCGCTGATACAGTTCTTATATTTGCTATATAATTTACAAAGCGTCGATGGTGCGTCGGCAATTGATTTTTCAAAAAAGAATTGTCCGAAATTAAGTTTGTCCAGGAATGGAGCCAAGCATTTCTGAACAATTCGCTGTTCTGTCACAAAATCGCAATGCAACTCATTGCTGTTTTTTTCTATAAATTATTTAAATTTGAATGCAAATTCTTAACAATTTCTCTGACTTAAAGGAACAATTCATGAAAATGGGTGACATCTTATTACAGTATTTTATTCAATCTTTAGTTAAGTTATTAGTGAAAATAATAAATGAAGATTTTACCATCATAAGTTAAAATGTTAGGCACAAGAAGCAAGAAAATGAAGGAGAGCATAGTTACAGTTTATAGATTGCAGCACCGATCACAACACCAAGTTCTAGAGAATATGAAATAAGAAACATCATGATATCTTTAGCAAAAGAGATCGAGGATTGATGACCGATGGAGTTGATCGATTTCAGAATTACTGTCTCCTTGACTGCATCGAATATGACATAACTTTCATTGCATATCGTGAGATAAAATCGTTTGTGGGGTCAAATGCGTTGAGATGATATTTTATGAGAAAAAGCACTTCAGATTGTTGTTATGAGCTGGTGTTGCGATCGGTTTCTGCTCGCTATCCATGAATTACTGAACCGGATATACAGAAAGAAATGACATGGTGTGATCCGCTCACGGTATTAGTGAAACGGCAGGAAAGTTTCGATTACTTCAATTATGAAACTCTACATTTCCGTCTTTCAATGGATATTCAGTTTCTGTAAATCTACTTTGTCAGCATGGGAGATAGATTCAATGTGTTGCTTCGCAACTGAATGATAGAAGATTCAACAATAATTCAAAAAAGGTTTGATTACATTCCTACTTTGTCTTTGCCACTCTCACTTTCTAAGTCAATGCTGTGAAATAATCCATTTTAGAATTTTACATCCCTTCGCTAATCTTACAGTAAATTTGTTCGTGAAGTACACAGACAGATATCAGCCACGCATCCGATAAGTTAAAGCAAGATCAACGGTTTCTTTCTTTTAGTGAATTCTTTACCTGAATGTTTCAAGAATTGGTTTTACAACTAATTCAAGCTGATTACAAATCACTTTCAATACTCTACATGACAAATTCGACTCTAATAGAGAATGACGATCATAACAGTCAGTCTCTGTACGTATCACTATTAATAGTTTGCATTTTGTTCCTCTTCATTTTGGCTTTTTATACTGCATTTATTATCAAACATTTACACTTTTTTTTGTTGGTTGAGTTTCAATTATGCGACTAAACAATCTCAGCGGTTTTTGATTATCCTTGAATAAGAGAAGAAAAGGCGGAAAGTGCATACAAGGGAGAGATGGAGCATAAGGTGTTCAGATTCATTTTCATGCAGTTCCTTTTAATGCCTTACCATCAGTTATCTATCAAGGTCAATTCGGATCGGATCTTCCCATACTCAGTAATTAATTTTCCACTGCGTACAATCCATATTCTCGACATTCACGTAACAGCACAGTGCAGAACCTTTGCATGCAGAACCAGACACCCTCTCACTTTGCTACAAATTACTCATGTCGATCTCACAAGGGCATCATCCGGTTCAGAAGCGAGTAGCGAGGAAACTTTGGTGTGTACCTGTTCGTACTTTATCCGATACGTTATTGGATGGAAGTGAGGTCATGTTCAACTTGTTCAGGATAGATGTGTTGTGATCTTCTGACTCTAATGCTCTAAAGTCATTCTTTGTGCTTTCGGTCATATAAACAACACTTCTTCCTTCATTGCTTTCCTGAAAACCGTATCTTTCGAGTTTCCCTTCTTCTGTGTTTACTTGTTTTTATTTTAAAATCATGCATGTAATTCAGCTAAGGTAAGTTAACGTGTGAGTTAAGATCGACTGTGCGGTACATCTCACTGATATTGAAAATTTTTTACCTTTTATACATGAAAAGGATTAACTGCCTAAGAGATGCCTTACATGATTTGCCAATGAAAAAGTGATATTGTTGTGTGATGATGCGTGCTGGTAACATCGATCTTATTTCCCTCACACGTGAAGTAATAATAACTGATGCGAACCTTATCTTTTCCAAACTCACCTCCTTCACATATTTCAAATGTGTTTAATCAATGAATAGTGCCAAATGGAAGAGGACATCCTCTATTCTTACCTAGCTAACATCTCGTGTTCTGTACTTCAAGTTATGGTTGCATTACCTTATCCTTCCGATATTTATGTTTCATTACTCACCCAGTCACTTGATCGTTTAGATTTATTTGTGGCTATTCCATTGTGTACTAGGCCTATTGTTCCAAAGAAGAGAAGTGGGACCTTTCTCATTTCAATGTCCAACATTCCGTATTGAATTCTCTCTTGAACTAGATCACTCTTGATCAAGTAGAACTTATCACCATTGATAGGCTCTAGAGCGATTGTTGCATTTAAAGTTACACTTCTTAGCTGTATAGTATGGTCATTTACTTTAGTGTTATTGGAAGAAGTAAAGTCTAATTTGTGATTAATGTCTGCTACTTTACAGTGATATTTAATTATAATTATCCCAAAAAACTCGTTATTTATTCGGTAGGAAACTTTTTAAAGATTTTCACCAAATCTTTCTTCATTTTATAATAGAAATTGATTAACTAACAAATTTATCCCACGATTTCAGTTGCTCACTTCATTCTTCTCAGTAGGATAATTTTATGCTTATAATAATTTCGATTTTAGGAAAACAGTCCATGGCTGGGCGGACGGTGATGCGTTCCGGAAATACAGGCGGTCCAAATAAAACTTGCCAGTTTAAATTGGTTTTGTTGGGTGAAAGTGCAGTTGGTATTTTTTTTATTTAGTACTGTATTGCTATAAAGCCAAGAAGATCAATACTGTAATGTAATGAAACTAATATTCTTGATATTTTCCAGACAAGAATCATAAGATTTTCAGGGAAATCATCATTGGTCCTAAGATTTGTAAAAGGGCAATTTCATGAATACCAAGAATCGACAATTGGCGCTGCATTCCTCACTCAAACTGTTTGTCTGGACGATACCACAGTGAAATTCGAAATATGGGATACTGCTGGACAGGAAAGGTATCTAGTTTAGAACGCACTTCGCATTAAAAAATTTGTGTTTTGTATCTTTGGGAGCGTAATATTCTTTCCCTTACTTAATCATAAGTAAACAGATAAAAAATGTTGTGCTTGATGCTTCCATTGCGTTTCAGTGCGTTTTGAAATGTGGAATTATTTTAATTTTTTTTCTTTAATTCAAGTGAGCTCAAAAGATTTCTGTGATAAACTAGCATTTAGAAATATTAAAAAATAGCTTAACTTGGTTTTCTTTTGCCGTTATTTCTTTAGATAACAATTTGGATACTTATATCACTTTTGACATTGATGTCGAAAGAAAAAATTGGCCTTAATGTATTGGATGATATGGCTTAGTAATTACTTGGTGTAATGGGTACATATCAGTAAGTTTGATGATAATTACTGTTAGAATTGCACTTTTACATTTTCTGTTTTACTAATAAATGTTGTGACCAGATTCTCTTGCAGATATCATTCATTAGCACCGATGTACTACCGCGGAGCACAGGCGGCAATAGTTGTTTATGATATTACAAACCAGGTACTTTCTTAATATCATGTAAAAATGCAAATTTTTTAACCCAATAGGATAAACAACATGCTGCTCCTTCGTTTGTTATTGGAAAGATATTTGTAGTAGAAGCTATATTCTGATCATAAATAGATAATCATTAGTTTTAATATTCACACTGTATCCATTGATCATGCAGCAGTTAAAGTTGAGAATGCACCAGAATCCCCTTGCATCCCATCACGGTATGAAATGTAGCGGTAATGCATCAGAAGTGCTTATCTAATGGATACTGCATCGTTAGAATATGACCAAAATTTTGTATGGAATTTAAAATATTCCTATCTTTGAGCAGTAAGGATGACCATCTGTTAATTTCTTTGTATATAAGGTACAAGATAGTGCTCATATCTGACGTTAAAGTTCGGCAGTGATGCAATGTATATTTAACCAGCAACTTATAGGAATCATTTACGAAGGCGAAAAATTGGGTAAAAGAATTGCAGCGGCAAGCCAGTCCAAACATTGTAATTGCTTTATCTGGAAATAAAGCAGATCTTGCAAACAAACGAGTCGTAGAGTATGAGGTTACTTGCGATTTTTGTGCTTAAGCTCATATTTTTCTCTTATTGCAAAAATGATGTGATTTCGTCATGGTAGTCCCTATTTTGACTTGTTATTTGGTCCATTTCGCGGAAAGTTTATTTATTAAATCTTTGGTTCCTCAATAGCTTCTTAATTCTTAATTGTGAAAAAAAAAAAAAACTAGCTTAACTGCTGTTTACATTGTGTTAACAATTATGGGAATTGGGATGACTTTACTGAGATAACTGAATGTCAGTTAGAGTTGTAAGCGTTCTAAGTAAGTTAATTCTGTATTATCGTTGTTGTGCATAGCGTTTGTAAATGTGATTGCAGGAAGCTCAAGCTTATGCAGAAGATAATGCGTTGTTGTTTATGGAAACGTCAGCAAAAACGGCAATGAATGTAAATGACATCTTCCTTGCGATTGGTCAGCCCTATAGTTGATTACTCAGGACGAATTTTACTTTCAACTTTTGTGCTTTTGCTGTTCTAGAAGTTGTTAAATTGGGAAAAAGTAAATTGCAGCTAAGAAGCTACCAAAAGGTGATGGAAGTGGTGGTGGTCCATCAGGACGCGGCCATGAAGGAATAGATATCGGCCAAGAGGGTCAAGGTCAAAGTGTAAGCTCTGGTTTATGCTGTAAATAATGCAGACGGAATATCCAGCACTAAAAGCAACAACAACAAAGTGCATTTTGTTTGATTCTTCGCGGAGAGTGAGCAGCATTTGCTGGCTTCAACAAACATCAGCCTTTTATTATTATTGATCAAAAAAATCTGATACTTCGAAAATTCTATATTCTTTTCAATTACGCTTTTCAGAGCAATCGAAAAGGCATTATTTCATTATTGGTGCTCTGAATTTCCATCTTATAATACTGCAACTTCGAAAAGTCATAACCCCTTTAATATCCATCCGTTCGTAGTGACTATTTTCCGGGGGCAAAAATTTCACAGCTCTTTTTTATTCGAATAGTTCTCAGTGAAGGTTATGTCCATATAAAACTTGGAGTGCTCTTAATTTCTTATAAAATATTTCTGTATGTTTTATTTTCTTGTTTTTCTAAAAGGATTCGTAACTAGTAGTAAAGCATACTTTTTTTAATATCAAACAGTTGCTATTGTAGTCCTCATAAAAGTGACCAAGTATTTATGGAATTGGCACAGACTAATCACTGGTGATAGTTTTTAAAGTTGACAAGTTTGCCAAACTTATTAACAGATTTCATTTCCTTCAACTCAATTTATCTTTGATTGTTTCCATTTTTATTTCAGCCATTATGCTGGGACGTTCTAGTGAATATTTTCCAGTGAATACTGCTATTACATGTCCAATGAGGTTTAGATAACTCTGAAAAATTCAGAAAGCTACACTATTTAAATTCCTATTTTTACTTACTTTCAATTACAAAATTTTTTTTTCAAGAAAGCTACATTTTCATAACAATATTTTTCGTACGTGTTATAGGAAGTGGGAATTTGGTAGGTTTTTAACCTGGAAAATGCACAATACTTTTAAAGTTTGATTTAACTTGTTTATTCCAACTGGTGTTGTGATCATCATTTCATAAGACATTATATATTCTAAACTCAGATAAAAAGTGCTCTGACTTTTGTTTATCATTCTATCTGCTGTGGTTACTATGACCTGTTGCTGCTTGTTGTTTTACGAATATTATGTGTAATGTTTCTAGGAAGGTTACTCTGGAATCTCACGAGAACACATTTCAGATCAAAGGGTTCAGTTCAACGTTAGAATAGTTTAAAGATATTTTTTAAACGAATGTCAAGAACCGTGGAGCTAACATTGCTTGCGATCTCAAGCATTAAGGAATTATTTGCTTTATTGTGAAGTGTCAAAGTTGGCAGATGATGGTTGCTGTAAATTTTTGTTTGGTTTTTTTTGTTCCAATAGCATTTGAGGATGTTTGTATAATGTTTACGAGGGCATCTAGCGAGGAACATCTTAGGATCGCTGTTCGAAACGTAGAACGTGTATATATTCTAAGAGAAGAACGCCCTCCATTTGAAGCAGCGGTTAGTTGTATCTTCTATACGCTTTTTGTTTTTCATATAGTGCAGAAATGATTTCAGTGAACGGTAGTTCTAAAATGGATTTCTTCTGCTATTCAAAAAAAAATATCAAATTCCTTTTTCGATTTTTCAACTTTTCAATTTGTGTTTTATTTTAATACGTTTAAGGAAACTGTCATTTCTGTTATTTGACTGCGCCAATTTGATGATCCTGTTGGGTTTAGCGAAGGAGTTCAATACTGTAGTATTCCATCACATTACGTCATTGTAGAAGATTCCATGCATATTAGGTGTATAAAATTTCATATGTATGTTGTCACAACTATAAGAGACATTTACGTTAATATTTGTCTATCGTTTCTACTTAATTTATTACGTTGGTTTGTTTTATGCAAGAAAGTTTATAAAAAACTGTAGCATTTTTATTTGTGAAAATGCAGTAATTCCTAGGAGAATAATCAAGACGATTTCGGTTCACTGTTTTAGGGTAACTTCGAATGGAAACAGGGCTATTGGGATCCACGTACAATTGGTTTGTCAATCGATTCCACACCAACAACTGCTCGGAGTGTTCTAAGGCTGACTAAAGAAGTATGTATCCTTATATTTTGACTTTTTATATATGCATAAATCTTGGACAGGCATGATATTTGTGTCACCAACATACCCTTTCAGTTCACCTACGATATTTTTTTATAAAATTATATCCAAAACGAATATTTTTATAAAACTTTTTTTTTGCTTTGTTTTTTATAGATGAAAGAGCTCAAAAGAAACCCAGTGAAACACTGTCGAGCTGCACCGAGAGCTGATAATATTCACGAATGGACTGCAGTGATCAACGGGCCTGAAAATACCGTTTATGAAGGTGGTACTTTTTTCGTGCAGATGTTTGTACCGCCAACATACCCTTTTAATTCACCTAAGGTATTTTTTTTATGACATCATATCCAGAACGAATGTCTTCTGTAAAACATTTCTTTTCTTGTTTTTGTAAATAAAGAACCTTGTGATAAAAAATTTTCTGCATACTTTAGGTGCAGTTCTTAACAAGGATATATCACTGCAATATCAATCGCCACGGTGTTATTAACATTGATATTTTGCGTGATCGATGGAGTTCCTCAATGACAATTGCAAGAATTTTGCAGGAAATAGTTGCTCTTCTATATGATTGTAGACCCGGTACGTCCCACTTTTCGCTAACTTCAAATTTCTCCTCGATCATTATTAAGTAGTGGTCACCAATGCTTTCTTTTTTGCTATAAGTGCAACATTTTTATCGATTTCGAACTCGGGCACATTACGTTATGTAGACAACCGAATAATTCAACTAATAATTTTCTCCATCTTTTTTTTTCCCTGCCATCGATAGTTTTTTTAATGTTCATTTCATACTATTCAAATTCAAAGTTCAATCTGATACATGAACAGTACATAGGCCTTATACGTCATAAAATAATATTTTTAGAAAATGCTCTTCTTGGAAATGTTGCGGAACAGTATGTGAACAATCGAAAGGAATTTGATGCTACCGCACGGGTATGGACATCGCGATTTGCTCAGTGATCTCAAAATAAGTTCCTGACCAAACTAGTGAAATTGTTTCCTTTGTTTTTCACTACTTGACGCAGTAAATAGATTGTTTCCTTCGCTTGCTGTTCCCTGTTGCTAAATCTGGATAGAAAGTTGCACAAATGCGAGTGCAAGATCAATTTTGTTCAGTGATAAATTTTACTGTACATTAGTTTTTTTTAATTGTGTCTTCATGGTCTCACATTTGAGTTCTTTGATGAGCTGGTAGGAGTACTTGTATATATCTCTTGTTATAACTTTTACTTTGCATAACATGAGAATTTATTTCTCCTGCGTCACCTGATTAACACTAATTAGTCGTAATAAATCTGCTTTATAATTTCGTCTTTTAGGATATACTACATCTTGTTGTCTTTGCATGCGATATTTAATATCTAGTGAGTGAAATGATCCTTTCATGTTTTCAGGAAGGTATGAGTGATGTGTCGTTTTCTTACGAAAAATGTAGGGTACGCTCTTTAATCAAGGTCGTCTTCTCATTTAATCCGAATGCAGTTTTGCAGTTCAACTTTGACAAAACTAAGTAATGAGAAGGAGGGATCTTTATTTTTCAGTGGGCCAAACTATTTGTCGGGTACTATTTGTCGATACTTCAGTTGTTGGTATTCTTCGATCGCTAAATATACACTGATTTTAGTTTAGGAATTTTAAAAATTTATATTAACTGTTGTGAACGGTCATTTCGGTACGTTCAACACAATTTGAAACATCCGAAGAACAGCGAATGAACAGCCTGGAAGGAGCACGAGTAGCTCTGCTGGCATGTGGTTGTTATAACCCGCCAACAATTATGCATCTTAGGATGTTCGAGAGTGCTCGTGATTTTTTGGAAGTTCGCTATGGATGCGAAGTGGTTGAAGGAATTCTAAGTCCAGTTGCTGATTATTTTGGCAAACCTGACCTATTACCTGCAGCGCACAGGCAAATAACATCTTTTCAGCATTTGATAGCTTTTAATAATCAGATTTCTTATGAAAATTGTAATTTCTTTTTTGGTCAACAAAATCGGCCACTGCTTGTTATGAAGCGACCAAATTTCTATATCCGATGATGCCTTACGAAATTCAAAAACGTAGTTGTTTGAGGAACTTGACAGAGTGATTCTGTTTCCCGATTTTTTTTAGCCCTCAGTCGCGAAGAATCTTGACCGAAAACTAATACTGTTAAGTAATACAAAAAACTAGTTTTCTTCTGATTCTAAAATATTTCAGATATAAGATGTCAGAATTAGCAGTGAAAAGTTCAACATGGATCAGAGCTGACCAATGGGAATGCAGTCAAAAACAGTGGACCAGAACACTTTTGGTTTTAATACACTTCAAGCAGATGTTAGATCGCAAATATAATGACACACGGTTGCGTCTGATGTTGTTATGTGGTGGAGATGTTGTGGATTCATTCAAACGAATAACGCCTTCGGGAGATTATCTGTGGGATCCCTCTGATATTGGTGCAATTATACGCGACTTTGGTACGTAATAGATTAAAATTGAGCAGAATTTTATTTTAAAATGCGTTTGATAAAGCTCGAAAACTTTTTTGTTTACTTTTTCAAGGAAACTTTGTGTATATCTATCAATGTGCGTAGATTTGCTTTCTCAAACAAATACTGAAATCCTATTTTGATGTTAGAATAAGAAAATGCACTTCAGGTTTGGTAGTACTAGCTAGACGAAATGCAGAACCAATGAAGACTTTAAGTCAGCTTGGCTATAATGGTCAGTCATTAGCGAACGTGTTTGTTTTCGAAGATACAGCTTTACCTAATGATATAAGCTCCACACGTTTACGAGCTGCAATTCGACGCGGTGAATCGATAAAATATTGTACGATGGATTCGGTAGTGGATTATATTAGAAAACACCAACTTTATCGAGTCAAGAATAGTCAAGCCGCAAACTGTTCTTAGTGAGTTATGTTAGATTACTATCTTTGTGCATCTTATCTTTTTATTTTTCTATCTTGTACAGATGATGTCTTCAAAGAGCGTAAAAAGGAAGAGCGTAAGTCGGAAAAGTATATTTAATGAGTTCTAATTTATCCTATTTTCGATCCGTTAATAGCTTTTGCTATTTACTGAACTTTCAAGGCGAAACATTTGGTGTTTTCATGACAAGAGCTTTGCGCATTATTATTTTGTTTATTCAGTATTATTTCAAAAGAACTGACAATTGATGAGACTTTGCTCGTTGTAAATTTTTAATAATGTCATCAGGCTTTGACTCTAATACATGATCATTCTTATTCTTGCCAGGTTGTTTAGTCTGACCAAGTCTCTTGTCTTTCAGTTCTATTTCATTGGATTTGGGAATTTTATTTCTTTTCGAAGCATTTAATGACTGCTGTTGTCGGTGTGAAGTGCTTTCCTCAAAAGAATTTCACTATTTTAATTGAGCATAGATAAACATGGGTTTTCTGGTATCTTGAATCTTCTCGTCTCGCGCATATAACATCAATTATTAGGATTATTTTCAGAAAACTTGATAGCAGAATGCATTATTTTAATATTTTCTTTATTTAATGCCAATTCATGCCACCAAGTGGATTGACAACTGTTTCAGGAATTTTTCAAATTGATAATTTGTATATTGATGTTTTGTTATTTAAATAGAAACTCAAACAAATTTTTTAGAATGTTTTCTTTTTGTTGTACCTGTTTCTCAAAAAATACGGGTTCTTATCTTTTTAGTACAAAAATTTTTACTGTTTCACTTTGCCACTGTGCTCACTACTTCATTTTTTGCAAACCTTTTTAAAGTGCTCTAATACATTTTTTTTTTTGAGTTTTTATGGACAGTTGTTTTACATTTGAATGAAATTCCTTAAGCACTGTTTGATTTCTTTCCAGTTTCTCCTTAACTGACAATTAGAACATGAAAATTATTTGTATGCCCATCTTATTGATATTCATAATTAAATGCCCTTGAAATGTTGGAATTATTTTTGGACAGCAATAAATGTTTTATATTGTTTAGGACGTGTTGATTCTCTCGGCTTACTTATTGCTACTCTATTTTTTTGTTTTCAGATCCTTTTCATTGCTAGTAAGTGCGTTTGCCGGAAAATTTATGATATTCATTGTCGATCACTTCAACGAAGCTATTTTCATTGTAGTGACAGATTGGCATGCCATTTATATCACAGTCGATAATTTGCATGATTCGTTTCAGGTCTCTAAACTGGTAAAATATATAGTCTTGAGGTAACTGTCAGTTCTCATGACGAGTCATAAATGCTGATTTTCTCCTTCACTTAAAGATAGGAAGTGGACTATTACTGTTGACAGAATGACTATTACTGTTTGCCTGACATTCAGTCTTTTCGTGCAAATATTGACTGTTTGGCATGTAGTTACTTGGAATTTTTCAGATTTGCAAATTTGGCTGATACGGGCTGATTATATGTTGTTAGAAAGTCAGTATTTACCTAATATTCACAGTTAGCTTAATGCAGGAAGAGGAAGAAGAATTCGTCTCGGATCTTACAGAACAAGGCGTCCCTACAGCTGAAGTGATGGTTAGTAATTAGTAGAGACTGTAAATATTCTATTTCGAAATCCAGTGAGTCAGAAAATTCCATTTTAGTGAATATATATTGGTGGAGCATGACCTTGTTTTTCATATGATATATAACTAAACTTTAAACTGTAAGCTATATAGTTTTGCAAAGTGCAAAATGCAAAATGACGTAAATTTTGTTCTTATGTGAAATTCAGTTTCAAAAGTAACAACGGAAATGGTGTGACGTAATTGCTTCAAGTGAAAAAGCGTTAATGAGGAAGGCAGAGGTCAAAAAGGAAAATTTCATTTAGCAGGGAAATAATCTTATACTGTGTTCAACTTATTTTGTATTTCAAGGAAGATGTGGAAGCTTATTTGAAGAAAGAAGGTAATATCAGCATAGAGGAAGGCATCAGACGTTTAGAAGCAATTTATAGAAAGTACAAGCAGGTCGAACAACAACTAACTGAGCAAAAATTACGGTACTGATATATATATGATATATATATATATATATATATATTATATTTATTTATTTATTTATTTATTTATTTATTTATTTATTTATTTATTTACTTATTTATTTATGTATTTATTTATTCATTTATTTTATTTATCTATTTATTTTTATTTATTATTTGCTTAGTTGTTTATTTATTCAATTGCTTATTTACTTATTCACCTGTTTATTTTTTATTCATTTACTTATTTATTTATTTGTCTGTTTACTTGTTCATTTATTCATCTACTTATTTCACTTTGTTTATTCATTCACCCACTCACTTATCATTTATTTAATTAATTAACTTGATTTATTTAACTTCTTAGTTCATTATTTATCTTATTTATTTATTCATTTATCTATTTACATATTTCGCTTTATTTATTTATTCATTCATTCGTTCACTTTATTCATTTATTTATTTAG